GCTCTTGGCTGCCGGGGGTGGGGTGGGGGGTGGTTGGCGGCAGCTCTTCACACCATCAGCTTTCTTCACCACATTTGCTTATGCACCCATTTGTCTCCAGCGATCGTATGGGGGAGTTGAGCACACAATGATATGATATTTTGTTCTCTGATGCCTGATAACTGATCCCTTCGGCACCTCGTGATCTCACAGGCTGGTGTGCTTCTTCCATGTGGGCTTTGTTGTTTCTGAGCTAGATGGCTGCTTATTTACCTTCAAGCTTTTAAGATCCCATATGCTATATCTTTTGATAACCAGGCACCATCAGCTTTCTTCACCACATTTGTTTATGCACCCGCTTTGTCTTCAGCCATCGTGTCAGGAAGGAGAGCATCATGAAATGCCAGTTTAATAGAACAAAGTATTCTTGCATTGAGGGAGTACTTGAGTGGAGGCCCAATGTCCATCTGCTACGTTAATACTAAACCTATGCATACATGCACATAGATCTATTTCCACATCCTCATATATATATTTTATATGTACATGCCTTTATTTAGACTTCTATAAGTGCCCTTTGCCTCCTAGCTCTTTCCTCTATTTCTTTTTACTTTCCTCTTATCCCACTATCATGTTCAGCCTCCATTTGGGTTTTAATAATTCCTCTTGGTTATATTACTCTTGGTCACACCCTACCAGGCCTCCTACACCCTCCTCACCACTGATTTGGATCACTTGTTGTTCCCTTATCCCTGGGTTTGTTAACACCACTTCCTTTCCCCCCACCTCCCCCTCTCCCATGTCCCCCTGGAACTATCTATCCCATTGTTTTCTGCTCCAATTGTTCATCCAGCCTATCTTACTTAGACAGACCTGTGGAGATAATAACATGCACAAAAACAAGACAGAGCAAAACCAAGCAACAAAATAAAACAGAACATCAACAAGCCAATAATAAAAAACAAAACAAAACACAACATAACAAGAAAGAAAAGCTTGTAGTTAGTTCAAGGACTGTTTCTTGGCCTTTAGGATGTTTTCTGGTTGAGTCTGATGGAGCACCAAACCCTGGCCCCAAAGTCTATTTTTGGTATTCCCTGGGTACTTCGTTGCTCTGTTCCCCTTGCTGATCTGTTCCACACCCTTAGTGTTTTGCCTCGGTGTGGTGGGACCAGATGGGGCGGAATTCCCACACGCTGTCTCCAGTGTTGTCCCCTGTAGGGCTAGGGGTCAGTGAGGGATGTCATATCTCATAATGGGACCGGCCATGTGGTCTTCTCTGTGGATTGGCTGTTCTGAGCGGGAATATTGTCCTCAAGGCTTGGTGGGCCAGGATGTGCTCCTCTCTCTCTTCCTTCCCCCTCATTTGCTCCCGTGTGCTCTGATCGGACATGTCCCTCTCCCGGAGCTGCAGATTCAGTGCTATCCTCTGAAATAAACTCTTCTGAGGGGAGGGGCAAGTTCCATTTATCTTCTTTCATTGCTTTGAACACCATTCAATTCTCCCCCCCCCCCCCCCTAAAGTCTTCTTCCGTATTGCAACTTGAGGCTTTCATTTTCTTTTCCATTCTTTTAGGTTGTATAATGCTAATCAAATTCTTCCCTTTGGGTTTTTTAACACCAAAGTCATTACACATTTTGTTATAATGCTTTTATTTGTCTTCTGGAACCACCCTTTGAAGACTTCTGTTCAGTTTTTAAAATTTTCCATCCTTCTCTTCTATGGAGCCACTCTGAAACCAAATGAAAGTTTCAGTCTCTTCTGACAGGACTTTTGAGATTTCTTTTCTCTCCTGGTTTTTTAGTGAACATTTACATGCTTCGTGTATGGTGCCTTGTTGGCATCTCACAATTCTTCTGGCCTTTGGTGTTCAGTGTATACATGTATTCTAAAGATGGCCTCTAAATTTAGTTGGAATATACTCCAAATCATATTTTGGTTTTCTTGGACCTGTTTTGATTTTCTTCAGTTTTAACTTGAATTTGCATATGAGAAATTGATGATCTGTTCGGCTGTTGGCCTTTGGCTTTGTTTTGGTGGTGCTGATAATACTGAGGTTCTCCATTATCTCTTTCCACAAATAAATTTTATTCCTATGTAAACCATTCAGTGAGGTCCATGTGTATAGTCACGATTTCTGTTGCCGGAAAAAAACGTATTCGGTATTGTTGAACACTATCATACTATCATCATTCCTATCAGCACAATTATATATTTCCAGCTATTAACCCTTTTTTATGTTGTTTCCAACTTTCTCATTTCGATAATCTGTTAATTAACAATGAATCTGGAATACATGTTCGATTAGTCATAAAAATGACTAAACATTTCTTTATGTTTGACATTCCTGGTTAGTGTATAAGTTCAAATCATAATCATATTAATTGCTCCTCCTTATGAGTATATGGGTATGAACCTATTACTGACAGTACTGTACTCCAAGATAGATTTTCAGATGTTCTCTGCTTTTATTATGAATTAGGTAAGGGTTATAGAGCAGATCATAGTTCTACATTAAAAAACTCATACACTGTTTGTTTCAGCTGGTCCACTGCAGTCCTCTCAATGTCCCGCCGCTTGTTGTACTTTCTCCCTGTGTTTCTAGTTTCCCTTCGTCTTCCTCTCCTAGCCCTTCGAACTTAGTCCTTGGGTGAGCGCTGCCCTTCAGATGTTCAATGGCTAAGGATTCTAACACAGAGGGGAGTTCTGTTCCGGGCCTGAGAAGTGAATAAGGGCTCTATAGTCTTACGGTGTCACCTATCTCTATGCAGCCAGTAAACCTGGTCTCATTTATGATTTGCATTCTGTTTTACACTTTTCTCCCATTCCATTCACAATCTTCTAATCCTATGATCAAAGAGTGAGAGACAAATCTTCTAAAGCAGTGGTTCTCAACCTTCCTAATGTTGCAACCCTTTAATACAGTTCTCCTTATGTGTGGTGACCCCAAAACATAAAATTATTTTCATTGTTACTTCATAACTGTAATTTTGCTACTGTTATAAATCGTAATGTAAATATCTGATATGCAGGATGTATTTTCATTGTTACAGATTAAACATAATGAAAGCAAAATAATTAATCACAGAAACAATATGTAATTATATATTGTGAAATATTTATTTCTAATTACAAATAAATGAAATTTTGTCTTGAAGCATGGTGTAGCATGGGTAACAGTCTTAATGTAACAACAGTAAACGACATTGCTACATTTTGTGACAATATGTGTAAAAAGCCAACATCAGTGGAAGGTTCAGATAGCTTCTCACCAGATCAGAAATTCTCGGGGCAGTCTTTCAAGAAGAGCACAATGAAGATTATCTTCCAAAACAAGTCTGCTTTTGTATTTAAACTTGATAACCAACAAGCTGGAAAACCCTGTTTCACAAAGATATGTTGTTGGAAATGGAAGAAGGTGCAACACCGTGTCAGACAGAACAGGATATGACTGCAAACACTTGATCCAGAATTTTGTAAGTGGCATTGTAGAGAGATCATCGCTGCATCACTGTTAAGTTCAATGAACTCGATAAGGTAGGCAACACGTAAATTTATTTTCATCCCATTTTTTTTGCCAAAGCTGAAGCTTCATTTGGAATGATTGGATCTTTTCAGACAAATCGAGGCATGTTGCATTTGGTCCTTGCAGTGATAAATTTAACTCATTCAAGACGGCAAAGATGTCAACCAAGTAAGCTATTTTCTGCAGTTCACTTTTATCGCTGAAAAGTGCTTCGAACTGCGTCCTTGATTTCTGATTAAAAAACGTTTTGAGTTCATCACAAAGCTCAGAAACACGTTTTAAAACTTTTCCTCTGGACCACTATCCCACTTCAGTGTGAAATAGTAAAGCATTGTTAGGTGCATCCAACTCGTTGCACAGTTGTGAAAACAGTTGACTGTTTAAAGTGATCACCTTTAAAAATTGATAGAACTTAAGGCGCTTTTCATTTTTTCTTGTAACTCTTGTGGCAGTGTCTTTATTGCTAATATTTGCCAATGAATCACACAGTGAGTTCCGATGACTTCTGGTGACTCAATTCAGTACCAAATGTTGAAATCCAGAACGACATCCTAGCATAGCTGAAGCACCATCTATGCAAACACCACAAACCTTTTCCCAAGAGATCTTATGCTCTTTCAGAAATGAACCAACTGTGTCACCATCATTAATATACCTCATGTAAACCAGTAACTGAACGGTTTACAATGTCTGCAGATTCATCAAGCTGGATGCTAAATATTGAAAGTGGAGCAGATTTAATATCTTGGATTCCCTGATTGTGTTAGACAGGGTTCTCTAGAGAGATAAAACCAGATTGCTGATAAGTTTATATATTTATTTATAAAGATAATTAGATATATAACACAAGAAATGAACTGTTAAATTATATACTGATAGATATATAATACAAGAAATGAACAATTAAATTATAAAGCAGTACAAATGGCTCAGTGCAACTCACTCCCATGAGAGAGAGAGAGTTGTGAGAGACTAGAAGTCCTTCAAGTCTCGTCTGCTGCCAGATCTTCCTCTATTTATAGAGGGAGGTAAGCTATCTCAGCACAGCAGCCAACCACAAGGCAGATCACCAACTGTCAACCAACCACCAGTCCCAACCGCCAGTTCCCAGCTCCAGAGATATCTTAAAGGGACCTCAACTGACAGCGACATAGTCCACAGGCTAGGCGTCCTATAGGTAGTATAGCCTATAAATTGAGGCACAGAACAAGCAAGGCAGCAGCACACTGGTCCTATGATCAAAGAGTGAGAGACAAAGGTGAGGCTCATCGAGCCATTTATCTCTCCGCCCTTCAGTTAATCCCACTTGTGTTTATCAGCCAGGCTGGAACAATAAACTATCTCACTGATCAAAACTATCAGTAGCCATGTCATCTATTCTTCTGCGGACAGTGTCGTTAGGTAAGGAAATTGCACTCAATTTCATAACAAATTTGTCTCCAATCATAACTCGAACAATGTCTTTGGCCTCTGGCAACAGTAAATCCTCAGCAATGGTGTGAGGCTTCATAGCTATGGTGATTCTGAGTGCCACCAAATAGGAAGTTTCAACGGCTGCTACATTTTGTTTGTGGTATATGCCACCAGTGTCAAGTCTAGCTTTCTTGAATCCATCAGCTTTGCTTCTAAGATAGTTGGTATCCTTGCCAGCAAAGCTGGGATGCTTGCTTATCAAAGTGGAATTTTAGTTTGTTCGGCTTCATAGATTCGGCTGACAGAACTTCACAACAAATAACACATTATGGTTTCTTAATGCCTGCTGTATTTATTGAGGTAAAACCATACTGTAAAAAATTCTCACTATATTTTCTTTTTTTAACATTCTTCTCTACACGGTTCATTGGCATGGGATGGTTTGCTAATGAAAATAATAAATAACAATAGCTTTAATAATACAAGATAAGATCCCAAAATGTTAAGTGGTCTGCAGTATGAAAAATAGGATTGAACAATAAAGAATTGATTTATCCAAGTGTAACTGAACCATTATTGAGAAACATTACACGACACTGTCAAAAACCCAAAACCAAACTCAATGCTGACTCACAGTGACCATACACTACATGAACTGCCACTTGCTCTCTCTCATGCTTATGACAACCAGATCACTGCTTATTCGTTTCCAAATTTTCCCTAGAAGTGTGGGTCATTTAGGAACCACTACCCAGCTATTTAAGAGGATGGACTATAGAGATAGACTGCTTGTGTTTGAAGTTAAGCTCTGAACTGAACAAACCCTGGTCAAATCACATGACCCCTCTTGATCTGTTTCCTTAACTGTGAATGAGAATTGTGAAGGGATAATTTCAGTGTGTTGTGATGATTAGATTAGTTGGTGCAGATTAAAGTCCCTGGTATATGGTATTTAATAATTAGTAAATATTAATCCACAAATTCTTTCATGCAACCTATGTAGTAAGATAATGCTTTTGAAGCATGAATTAAAGTTTTGGTCCCCTGCTATCCTTTTTATTTCCTGGCCCTCCTCCTTATTCCTTTCAAGTAGCTGGACAGCTTTGAGTTCATTGCTGTAGGGGAGAATAAACCAGGGTAGAAAGCAGTGCAAAAGATGTTTTCCTAGACTGAGTTTCTAAAAACTAAGCCTTTAGAGAATAGAGATATTTTCATTTATAAATACAACACTTGGAAGAAATATAATTGGAAAGCATTGGGCTTTCTCACTTTCCTACAACCTTCTGTCAATCTACAGTAAATCTAGAAAGATCATTCATAGATTCCTCACTCAAAATGGCTTAGTACTCTGATTTACAGGCAGAGCATCAGAGAACAGGCAAAATCCACATACATCTGAGGGATCGAAGGTGAAAAGAGGAGTTTGGAGAAGTAATATGACAATGGAGCAGCAATCGCTAAGCAGTGAGATTATGCTGGCCGGGCTTGAATTTACTGCCCTGACTGGCAACGAGGGAGCTGAATTATGGCTGTGCCCATAAGTGACGTGGAAGTAACGCATAGTCCCCATACCTGAAGGTCTAGGCAGTCAGTGGCGGGTGGTGTAACTCAATTCCAGAAGACCAGATAGGATGATGGATATTTCAGACAGCACCTGCAGGAACAGATAACATCAAGAACAGGTGAGTACCTTTCCCTCTCTCTTGGTAATACAGAGACCACTCCTACTCATAAGAGACTTAAAGGAAGGCGGTCCAAACTGACTGCAATCAGGTTTCCACCCTGCTTTAAGGTTTCCCCCAGACCTATTTTAAGATTGTTTCCGTTTTTAATATTTTCCATTTTCTTTTCAACTGAGGTTTTCCTATGCTTTATCTAGTTGTTGGTTTTCTTTTTGTTTGTTTACTTCCTGCTTATGCTTTGTATGATTTTCCATATATGAAATCCAGGCTAAGTAAATCTACAGAGATAGTAACTGGATCAATAATTACCTAGGGTCATGGCATAGAAGGATGGATGGGAGAAGTGGAGTGCTAACAACAATGAGTACAAGAAGAAAAATGTTCTGAAGTTGGTAGTGGTGATGATTCTACAATTCTTATTTATATGATTGAATGATTAAATTACATTATATGTGAAGTACATCCCAATAAAACCATTTTTAAAATAAAAAATATTTAAGTGATTGTCACAGTAGATAAGAAAGTTAAACTATATGCCGCTTAAAGTCACTGCCATCAAGTCAATGCCAACCCACAGCAACTCTATAGTACGGGGTAGAATTGCCCCTGTGAGTGTCACGGGAGTATAGCTGTTTAAGGGAGTAGAGAGCCCCATCTTTCTCCAGCAGAGCACCTGGTGGTTTTGAATGCTGGCCTTGAGGATCACAACCCAACTTGTAACCACTACACCTCCAGGGCATGCCACTAAAAAGAAGCATCTAGAACTAAGAGAAAAGTTGGAAAGAGACACCAAGTAAACCCTATCATGCAAACCAAATTCTGCTGTTGTGTCAATTCTGATCCCTATAGGCCCTATAGGCGAGAAGTCGAACTGTCCTTGGAAACGGAGTTTCCGAGGCTGTGAACCTTTACAGAAGTGGACTGCCACATCTTTCTCCTGCAGAGCAGTGGGTGGCTCCAACCGCTGACCTTTCAGTTAGCAGCTGAATGATTTAACCACTGTGCCACCAAGGTTCCCTCAGCAAACACTAACTCCTACAAAATCATTAGAAACTTAAATATAATAACCCAAGAACATAACCTTAAAAACTGAAAGGAAAAAAAGCATTAGGAGAAAGACAAAATTCAAAATCATATTGAAAGATTGCAAAAACACCTCTTTGGTTATATCTAGAAAAGGCAGACAAAGTATCAGTAAAACTATCGATTGGACTACAAATTATTAGAACCATTAAAATGTATCAAAGAAACATTTTGTTAAGAGTATAACTATCATGATCCCAATTCTACCTTACAAATCTGGCTAGACCAGAGGATGTACATTGGTACAGATAGCAACTGGAAACACAGGGATTCCAGGACAGATGACTCCTTCAGGACCAGTGGTGAGAGTGGCGATGCCTGGAGGGTGGAGGGAATGTGGGGTAGAAAGGGGGAACCGATTACAAGAATCTAAGTATAGCCTCCTCCCTGGGGGATGGACAGTAGAGAAGAGGGTGGGGGGAGACGTCGAAGAGTGTAACATATGATAAAACAATAATAATTTATGAATTATGAGAGGTTTATGAGGGAGGGGGAGTGAGGAGAGAGGGAGAAAACGAACAGCCCATATTAAGGGCTAAAGTAGAAGGCAAATGTTTTGAGAATGATGAGGGCAACAAATGTACATGTGTGCTTGACACAATGGATATATGTATGGATTGCAATAAGAATTGTACAAGCCCAAATAAAATTATTAAAAAGAATTTTTAAAAAATTTTAAGAGTATAATAACAAACAACTCTAGAATCTTCGCAGCTTTTAAAAAGGTTTCTCTGCTCCCCCTACTTGTTCACTGACCGTGACACATGCTGACAGAAGCTCCATCCCCGCAGTGCCTCCAGCCTCAGCTTGGGAGGGCAACACTGCGGGCGGGATGTTTGGCATTTGTTGTGGTTCTGAGATGCCCTCGAGTAGGTCCTGACCCATAGTGATCCGATGTACAACACAAAGAAGCACAGCCCGGCCCTGTGCCATTTTCACAATTTTTCTTCTGTCTGAGCCCATTGCTCCTGCCACTGTGCCCATCCATTTTGTCAAGCGTCTTCAGGGACTGGTCTCTCCTGACATGTCCACAGTATGTGAGACAAAGCCTTGCCATCCTTGCCTCTGATGATGATTCCGGCTGTACTGCTTCCAAGTCTGACTGGTTTGTTTTTCAGCAGTCCATCTTATTTCAGTATTCTTCACCAGCACTATGACTCAAATACATTGGTTCTTCTTAGGTCTTCCTTAGTCAATGTCCAGCTTCCACATGCATATGAGACAATTAGAAATACCATGGCTTGAGTCAAGCACACCTTAGATTTCAAAGCAACAAGCTTGTTTTTCAACACGTTAAAGAGATCTTGTACAGCAGATTCACTCAAATGTAATGTGTCCTTTGAGATCTTGACTGCTGCTTTCATGAATATTGATTATGAATCCAAGCAAGACAGAATCCTTGATAACTTTAATTTTTTCTCCATTTATCAGGATGTTACCTATTGGTCCACTTGTGAAGATTTTGTTTTTTATTAGATTGAGTTGTAATCCATACTGAAGGTTGTATTCCTTGATCTTCATCAGCAAGTGCTTCAAGTCCTCCTTACTTTCAACAAGCAAGATTGTGTTACCTGAATATTGCAGGCTGTTAGCAAACCTTTCTCCAATCCTGGTGACATATTCTTCTTTATATAAGTGAACTTCTCATTATTTGCTCAGCATACAGATAAAATAAGTATGGTAAGTGGATACAACTGTGACACCATCTTTACTGATTTTAAACCATGCAGTATTCCCTTGTTCTGTTCACACAACTGTCTCTTCTTCCTTGTACACGTCCCTCATGAGCACAATGAAGTGTTCTGGAATTTCCATTCTTCTTAAAGCTATGCAGGGTTTGTTATGACACATAGGCAATGCCTATACATAGCCAATAAAAACACACGTGAACACCTTTCTGGTATTCTCTGCTTTTAGCCAAGATCCATCTGACATCAGAAATTATATACCTTGTTCCATGTCCTCTTCTGAATCCAGCCTAAACCTCTGGCAGTTCCATGTCAATGTACTGCTGCAATTGTTGAATTATCTTCAGCAAAATTCTACTTGCATGTGATGTTAATGATATTGTTCTGTAATTTGAGTATTCTGTTGGGTCATCTTTCTTTGGAATGTGTACAAATATGGCTCTCTTCCACTCAGTTGGCCAAGTGGCTGTCTTTCAAATTTCCTAGAATAGATGAGTGACTACTCCCAACACTTCATCAGCTTGTTGAAACATTTCAATTGGTGTCCCATCAGTTCCTCCAGCCTTGTTTTTGGCTAATGCTTTCTTTCAGTGCAGCTTGAATTTCTTTATTCATTGGTTCTTGTGACAGTTAGAGATAAATGGCTCAGTAAGCCTCACTTTTCTAGTTCTAGGGTCTCTTGTTCTCAGATAGTCAGACCAGTGGCGGCTGCCTTAGCTAGTTCTTTGCCTCAGCTGGCAAGGCTCACTTCCTGTAAGACATCCCTGAGAAGCCACATGGACCTACCCTGATGCAGCCCTGGGTGCTGGAGCAGCCGTGTGGAGACCCCTGCCAGCGCTGAGATGCTTACACACTCACTGATTCGGCTTTCTTCCTGCATTCGGCATTATTGCATGTGTTTTGCGAGTTTGAGGACGACTTTGTAGATTGGTGTCAGACATATGGGCTAATGTCAGACTTAGGGCCTTGGACTGGACTGGGTTGGGATGCTTTCCTAATGTTCACTTATTTTTTATATAAAACTCTCTCTCATATACGTATGAGTTTCTGTGGATTTGTTTCTCTAGTCTACCCAGACAAACACAGTTCTGTTCATATGCTACCTCGTGAAATGACTAAATGTTGACTAGTTTTTTGGGAGTTTTTTGTCCAGTGACTCTGTATATTCTTTCTATCTTCTTCTGATGCTTCCTGCATCATTCAATATTCTGCTCATAAAATTTTTTAACCACTGAAACTTGAGGCTTTTTTTTTCTTGAGTCTTTCAGTTTAAGATATGTTGAGCATGTTTTTCCTTTTTCATTTCTAACTCTAGATCTTTGCACAGTTTCATTATATTTTACTTTGTCTTCTTGAGATGCCATTTGAAATTTTCTATTTAGCTCTTTGATTCTGTCTTCCACATGCCTTAGTTACTCTATGATTAAGAGCAAGTTTCAGAGTCTCTTTTGACACTCACCTTGAACTTTTCTTTCTTGCTTATCTTTTTAATGATCTTTTGCTTTCTTCATGAGTGATATTCTTGATGTCCTCCCACAGCTCATCAGATCTTCTGTCATTAGTGTTTAATGCATGAAATCTGTTCTTGAGATATTCTTGAAATTCAGGTGGGATTGACTCAAAGTAATATTTTGGCTCTTGTGGACTTGTTTTAATTTTCTTCAGCTTCCGGTTGAACTTCCATATGAACAATTGATAATCTGTTCCATAGTCAACCCGACTTTGTTCTAGCTGCTAATATTGAGCGTCTCAATCATCTCCTGTCACATAGTCAATTTGATTTCTATGCATTCTATGTGTATAGTCACCAATTATACAAAAAAGGTATTTGCTAGGAACAAGTTGGTCTTGCAAAATTCTATCATGTAGTCTCCAGCTTTGTTTCTATCACCAAGACCATATTTTTCAACTACCATTCCTTGTTTCCAATTTTTGCATTCCAATTACCAATAATTCTCAATGCATCTTGAATACATGTTTGATAAAGTTGTGACTGAAGTCATAGGTAGAATTTTTCAATTTTTTCATCACTTGATTTGTGGTTAGTGCATAAATTTGAATAGTAGTTGTATTGATTGGATTTCCTTGAATGTGGATAGATATAATCCTATTACACACAGCATTATACTTCAAGATAAAGCTTGAAATGTCCTTTTTGATGATGAATGCAATGACATTCCACTTGATTAGATCATTCCCAG